GGCCCCCCGCACCCGCCCCCCGGGGCCCCCCCCGCCCCACCGCAGCCTCGGGGGGAGGGAGCCTTCCTCCTCCTCCTCCTCCTCCTCCTCCTCCTCCCGGCCGTCCCCAGGACGGCAGTATCAGTGAAGGGGCAGCTGCTGCCCGCGTTTGCGGCTTGCGGAGGGATTAGGGCTTCTCGAGTCGGGATGGGGGCTTTCCTTCTCCTTTCGTTTGGGGTTCCCCTTCCCTTCGGTTCTCCTCCTTTAATAGCAGTCACGCTTTGGAGAGACGAGTACAATCTAGACAAACTGCTTACATCTGTCAGAAGCTTCGGACAGCTTAATAAGGCAAATAAGAAAGAAAGAAAAAGGAAAAAAAAACCAGTTTCTTAGGAAACGCAAATAATTTATTATCCAGATCTTTGGATGAGTCCTTTTTAAAAAAAAAAAAACAGAAAAAAAGAAAGATTTATAAATCTCTTCTGTGTGAGAGCAAGAGCATTGTTATGGTCAGAGTGGCAGAGAGAGAGATTTAAATGAACACTCTTTTGTAGTGGAAACGTGTGATCGAGTCGAGAAAAATTTGTTTATAACAAGTCCTGGGACCCCTGGGAAAGTCCGTAGGGTTAAGTGCCTCTAGGCCCCTTGTGGTTCAGGAAGGGCAAGCTAAGACCATCTCCGTGATTTTTGTTGCAAAGGCCCCTTGCTGGTGCCAGCAGAGCAGCACCCTACAAGCAACCATCCTGCAGAAGAAGTCGTCCCTTTCTGGAAAGGAGGCTGGAGGGATCCTTTTCTTTAAGGGGCGACATGACTTGCCACCACCGTACCCAGTGCTGTGCTAGATGCTTTCCCAGTCCTGCTCGTCCATGGCTAGTTTTTGCCTTTGCCAAGCCCAGGTCTCCAAAGCGGGGAGGAGAGGGTGGCTCTACTGCCGTTGGCCGCTCCTCGTGAACCAGCACTACGATTGCTCTGGGACCAACGTGAGCGGTGTAAACGTTAAGCTGAATATCAGGGAGGAATGTCTGAGGGTAGCTGAGGCCTTTTGGGGGACTGGCACAGGATCAATGTAGATGGAGTAGTTCTGGATCAATGGGAGGTTTAAGGGTGATGGTTTTTGCTGGAAGTGGGCTGCTTGCAGCTCTAGCTCCCAGGAATCAGCATGACTCCAGGGGGTTTTCTGCGTTAGGGAAGCAGCAGTGGGAGCAGAAGAGATGAGACTCAAGCTGGATTAAACTAGTCTGTGGTTGAGGTTGGGCCATGAAGGAGGTTCCTTCGACAGCGTGCAAAAGTGGAAAAGTACAGTTCGAGGGCTGAAGGGGAGTCACTGTGGTGTCCGGCGTGCTTCTGGATCTGTCTTTTTGATGGGGATATTTTTGTGACCTAGTTCGGGGGGAGCCTTTCAGAACGGAAACGCCTTCATGTAGAAAACTTAAACACAAACCAAAGAATTCAGTCCTACACCAACATACCAACGAATAGGCCAAAGTTTTCAAAAAGAAAAAAAGCTGGAGTTTGCACCCCAAGCCATGGTTTTAGGGGTCCATAAGTGAGCAGGCTTGGGGCCGTGCTGACAGCATCGCCCTGGGAGAAGAGCCGCGTCGCGGAGCAAGGACCAAGCACACGGTGGTATGTTTGCGAACCACATCCTCCTCGCGCTCACCCCCAGTTTTTGACTCAGTATTTCAGTGGGCGACGGGGATTCAAACCGTGAGAGCTTTTTGGCCGTGGGCCGTTTCGAATTAACCTGGCTGGCTATCAGGTATTGTGGAGAGGAATCCCACAGCTGGCTTCCATGGATGGTCTTTTGGGGGCTTTTCCAGTTCTGCGATCGGCGTGAAGAAAAGAAACCTGCTAGAGTATCGTTCTGTGCGCCTCAGAAATCGAGGTCATTACGTCTTAACGCGTAGTCCGTTGAAGTGATGGACTTGTCCCGTACAGCCTGACATTTTAAATGCTCCATTTCTCGGTGGGGTTGAAAGAAATGCCAGTTGTGTCATTAGTTTGCTTTTTTGGGGGGATTTTCTCTTTGTCCTGGGTTGTCTGAGTTATACCTCTGGTACTTTTTGGTAAGGAAGGATCTCCAAGTCGCAAGCCGGGCTAATCATTTTAGCGTGAGAGACAGCATCAGTGGCAGGGTGATCAAGACATGTTAGCAGATCAAGACAGCAGTGATAGGCTTTCCCTCTTCTCACTGCAATTCCTTTTTTTTTCCTCCCTTTTTTTCTATACTTGACCTTTATAGCAGTGGAAAAGTTGGGTCATAAATGGAAAGCAATCAAGGGGTAGCCAGTAACAAGGTTCAGCACAAAGATATAGTGCCCTAATGAAGGGTGAACATTTAGAAGATTAACTGCAAACATTTGTTTACTCACTGATTGTTATATCATAGAAATTTCTTTTAAAAAAAAAAGAAAAGGGAGGGGGCTGTGAAGCTCAAGATTTGACTAGATAACACAGCCAGACTGTGGATGCGTTATCAGTGGAAGTATTAAAAGCAAGTTTTGAGCAAGGTCTGTCAGCAGTGTCATAGAGCAGGTCCTGCTTGGGGATGCGGCGCTTGGCGCCGCATCGGACGTTAAAGCCCTGGGTCGTACTTGCAAGATCTGCATAGCCAGCCGTGTAGCATGTTTGAGAACGGTGCCAGTATCTTTTTCGGGGCAGCCATGGGGAAAGCGAGAGCAAACTCAAGGAGCCAGCACGTGGCATGAGAGAGCATCATCCTTGCAGGGCAGTTCAGGAGAAGTATTTCCGCGGGAATTCAACCTCGCCTCACCGATTCCTGGCACAGAAGCACTTAGTGAGGTCTCTCCCTACCTTTAACACTCCTAAACTGATGACAGCCATTCAGAAAGGGGAGCGGCAGAGCAGGTTGCCCATACAAGCAGTGTTCATCCCCCTCCAGGGGGTTGCTGTGAAAGCGTGGATGCCTTTAGAGATGGCACGGTCTGGGGGCAGAGCGGGTGGTCCCGCTCCTGGCACTGGAATTGCAAAGGGCATCTGTAGAAGGTGACCTACGTGGAGAAGAAGTTGATAGAAGCAATTCAGTTGTGCTTTGTGTTGGGGTGTGTGTGTGTTTTCAGTGTTGCAGGTGTCATGCTCACTTTTGCCAGGTTGTCTTTGGCAGCATGGGAAGGTCTGCACTAATTCGCCTCCCCGCTCGCCGAGTTCACAACGGCAGGCGTTCCCAAGTGTTGCTTCGTGCCCGGTTCGCTCCCTTCCCCCATGATTTACTAGGGGAAAACATAGTTACGAGCCCAAACGTCTCCCGAGCGTGGAGACGGTTTTAGGCTCTACAAAGGTGCGCTTGGTGTCCACCTGTGGTGTTTCTTGTTCACAGACCCCGAAATCAGTGTGTGAAGGAGTCAGATTTGATTAGTCTTGGCAACTCTGTGTACAGTGGTTTAACACGTAGCGTCACTCCCTCTTGTGTTTCGGGTTCTCCAGGGTTCGTTTCCTGTTGGGTTCGTTTTGTGTTGGGTTTTTAAGGCACGTGGGAGAAAGGGGCCTTTTGTTTGTGGGTGTGTGTTGCTCAAACTTCATTTGAAGTCTGAAATTCCCGTACAGATTTGGCCAAATACTTAGACCTTTGGAAACGCAAATGCACATTGCTTTTTAAACCCCAGATGGATCAAATCCTCAGATGTGTTTCTGGGCAGCTATAAAACAAATCTAACCGCGATTGAACTCCTTAAAATAGCTAGTGTGGCCACAGGGGATTTGGAAAGTTTGACAAATACAACCTTTCTCCACCAGAATACCTTTCAACAGAACGAGAAGCCACACAGCTCCTCTAGTGTTTCCCCGTTTTGTTGTAGGAATTTGGTTTTCACTTTACTATTTTGTCCAGGTTGGAAACCGAGGGTGGGAGGACTTCTGCTGGGTGAAGTCCTTTGTAACGCGGGAAGGGTTTTGCCTATCTTTCCGGTGACGTTTGAGCTATGTGATTTCTGAAACCCTGTCCCTCATCTGAGGGAAATAAATCTGGAAAGTCAGGAAGAATGGAGCTAGCGAACCGGCTTCTGGCACGTTGCGGGGCTTCGGTAAAGGACGTGCGTGGGCTTTGCTTTCGTAGCGATGCAGTGCTCTTCTTCGGGGTCACAGGGTAGGGTGCGTCTGAATCTCTCTCGCTCTCATTCTTGCCACGTCTGGGTCACGGTCCCCCCGCAGCGGCGCACGTGTCTGTCTGTCCGTCCGTCCTTCCGTCCCCCCCTCGGACCGCCGCGGGTGTCTCTGTGTCCGCTCCCACCGGGGTGCGCGCTTGTCGTCCCCTTTCTCCTGGCGCGCGGCACCTGAAGGTCCGCGG